ATGATGCTGAGTGAAATAAGCCAGATGTAAAAGGACAAAGAGTGTATGATTCCACTTATGAGGAATATCAAGAATAGGCAAATTCATACAGGCAGAAAGTAGATTAGGGTTACAAGGGGCTGGAGGAAGGGAGTAATTGCTTAATGGTTACAGACTTTCTGTTTGAGGTCATGAAAAGTTTTGGACATAGATACTGGTGACAGTTGCACAACATTGTGAATATAATTAACGACACTGATTTGTACATTTAAAAATAGTCAAAATGGCAGATAGTACATTATATATATTTTACCTTAAAAATAAAAAAAGGAAAGCAAACCAAAAATTTGCCTTAAGAAAGAATAAAGAAACATAAAAAGGTACAGCAAAGAGAAAAAGTACAAGCAAGAAGATAGAAAAAGTCTAGGTAACAATATTTATAAATCGACTGAACTCATCAGCTAAGAGAGATTATTGGATATAAAAATGCAAAATCCATTAGTATGTTTATAAGATACACACCTGAAACACAAAGACTACGAAAACTTCAAAGTAAAAGAATAAAAAAAGAATAAAAATGTTATACCATGAAACTACTATCCAAAAGAAAGTTGGGGTTTATGTATTAATATTAAAATAGACTTTAAGATAAATATTATTAAAGATAGAATCACAATGTGATGATAAAAGGTTTGTTTCAGCATGAAGTCTTAATAATTTGAAGAACTCAATAAAAAATATACACTATGAAATTTATAAAACCTTAAAATATATAGAGCAAAATTAATATAACTGTACAAGAAGTGGATAAATGCAATATTCGAATGGAAGATTTTAACACACGTCTCTGAGTTATTGACTGAGTTGTGTAGACTAAAAGTTTAATGAATGTATGGAAGACTTGAATCACACTTTTAACAACCTTGAGTTAATATATGTATGGAACTATGTTTATGGAGCCAACAGTTAAAGAATACATATTCTTCTCAAGAACATAAACAAAAAAATAAACCTGATCATGTGCTAGGCCATAAAGCAAACCGACAAATTTCAAAGAGTAGGTATCATACAGCTTACATTTTCTGTCAACAGTGCAATCTAGTGTAAAATCAATAACTATAAATATCAATAAATATAAAAAAAGAAAACCATATACATTTGAACATTTTAAAATGTATATTCTAAATAAAACACTTCAGTCAAAAAAGGAATAATATAAAATATACTGAAATATACTTAGAACTCAATGATAATGACAATCAAAACTGCACAAAAAAGGATGTGCAGGAAAGATATAGAGTGAAACTTATAGTAATAAATGCTTTTTTATGAAAAAGAATGTAGGTTGAAAATTAAGAAGCAAGGTATATAGTTAGGAAAAAATGAATAAACCCAAAGAAAACTAAAAGAAGTAAAATATAAGAACAGAAATTAATGTAAAAGAAAACAAAGATACAGTGGAGATGATAAAACCTTTAATTTCACACCCAAGTACATATCCTTGAGAAATTCTTACACATGTGCATTAGGTAAAATAGACATAGATGATAGTAATACATTACCAAAATTGAAATAAACAAACATAATTGTAAGAGAAAGTCACGAAGACTCATAATTGGCACAAAAACATCAAATCTGAGTAGTATTCTATCTCAGATAATTTGAATTTATAATTAAAAGCCTTCCCACAAAGAAAACTCTAGTTTTACATGGACTTATTAGTGAATTTGACTAAAAATTTAGAAAGAATTATACCAGTCATACATAAAGTCTTTTAGAAAACAAAAGAACAATTTTCAAGTCATTTTATGAGTCCAGAATTTTCCAGATATTAAAGATATGAAAAGTTAATAAAGTTAAAGACCAATATCCCTTAGAAACACAGACAGAAAAATTCTTAACAAAATATTAGCAAATCAAATCCAGCAATATAATGGATAAAAATCTCGTGACCAAGTTAGACTTATCTCAGACATGCAAGATTGGCTTAGTATTCAACAATCTATTAATGTAATTCACCATATTGAAAGAATAAGGGAGAAAAAAACATTATTATCTCCATAGGTACAGTAAAAGTACTTTTAAAAATTCAACACTCATTAATGATTTAAAAAGAAAAGACTTGAGAAACTAGAAATAAAAGAAAATGTCTTCAACCTGATAAAGGGAGTGTGTAGACTCTGCAACTAACATATTTAATACTGAAAGACTGTCTTTCCTCTGAGACTGGGAACAGGCAAGGCTACATACTTTTACTACTCCTTTTCAGTATTTTCCTGAAGATCCTAGCTATTATAACACACAAGATAAACAACAGGTCTACAGATTGGAAAGATAGAAGTAAACATTTTAGTATTTGCAGAAGACATGATAGTATATGTAAAAGTTCTTAAGGAAGCTACAAGAAAGCTACTAGAATTAATAGGTGAATTTAGCCACATGGAATGATACAAGTTCAATATACAAAACTATTGAATTTTTTATACTAGTAACGAACAACTGAAAAATCAAAAGAAATAAATACTATTACATAGAATAAAAATAAAATACCTAATAATAAATTTAACCAAATATATTTAATATCTGCACATATA